GTGTGTGTGTGTGTGTGTGTTGCTAGCTGCAGTGTGTGTGTGTACTGCTAGCTGCAGTGTGTGTGTGTGTGTTTTTCCCTGTCCCCGGGTTGAACTCAGGGCCTAGGCACTGTCCCTGAGCTTTGTGTTCTAGCATTCTACCACTTGAGCCACTGCTCCACTTCCAGCATTTTGGTGGTTAATTCGAGCTAAGAGTCTCACTGACTTTCCTGCCAAGGCTGGCTTTGAACTGTGATCCTCTGATCTCAGCCTCCTGAGTAGCTAGTTTCACAGACATGAGCCACTGGCACCCAGCTCTGTAGTCTGTTTTTTAAGGAAAGATTTCATGGAGTAATCAGCTGCTGAATTGACTCAAGTAATATTTATGGAAGGAATGTAGCAAGCTCAGTCTAGGAGAGAGGATGAACAAGTACAGCATGAACACGTCAGGAGCTAATTAGTAGTTAACAGATGGCGGCTCTGGAGAAGTTGGCGAGGCTTAGAGAAGTCTGTTACTTTGTGTTCAGCAGTTTGGTCTAATGATGGGTGTGATACACAAGCTCCTTTTGTTTTTGTATTTGCAAAATATATTTAGCTATCCTTTCGTTAGACTATAGTCTAAATGTACTAGAAAGGTAATCTAAAGATTCGGTTATTTTAACAGCAAGAGGAATTGGGATACTAAAGAAAATGTAACTTTTCTGCTTTTGTCACTGAGTACAAAAGCTCTTAAGGGAGGTATTGAGGCACTGTGCCTAGTCCTCATGGTTATGTGAGCTGCAGTGATGTCACTTGGTCTATCTGAAAGGAACAGGTGTGACCTGTCTGGCAAGCTTCCTAATGAACTCTAATAATTTGACAGTTGTTTGGGTCTTGGCCTCTTCTCTTGTTACTGGTGTATCTGCTTTAATTTTATCTAAAAACACTTTTCTTGCTCTCTTGGTTCTGATGACTAGAAATTAATGATTTCCTGATATGCAGGAAGGTTAAAAGTTGGCAGACTAGTTGCAGGTTACATAAACACACACTATTTGAAAACCATCACTTCCATCTTACCTTTAGCCTGTTTGGCTGGTGCTCTCCCACTTTAAGCCACACCTCTAGTCTGACTTTTTTCAGCTTAACTTGAAGATGGAGTCTAGTACTTTTCTACTGGAGTTGGCTTTGAACTGTGATCTCTTAAATCTCAGCTGAAAATAGGATTACAGTTTTGAGCCAATTGCAACAGCTATTTTGTGATTTTCTTTAACTTTTGAGAATGCAGGGTATTGGGAAAAAGAAAGTTTGGTTGTAGAACAAATTGATGATTATCCAGGGTCCTTGTAATATAATCTCCCCATAAGCCCTCAAGCATTAAGAAATATTTTGTATCAGTTAATTTCTGGTGGATATGGTTATCTTTGTAATTTATAAAGTAGGTTGAACATGGATTAGATGCTGGGAGTACAGAAGAAGAAGAGGAGAAAGAGGCTGATGTAATTGATTGTTTAAGGTTGCTTATTGTTTAATGGACCATTCCCCAGAATTAATGCAGCATCCTTTTGAAGGACATTTTTATCCCTATAAACTTTCTCTCAAATATTTTCCTAAGATTTGGGGGCTGGGAAGTTGGCTCAGTCTTAGAGCACTTGCCTTGCATGCTTGAAGCCCTGGGTTCGATTCCTCAGCACCACATAAGCAAAAAGAAAAAACCCGGAAGTGGCGCTGTGGCTCAAGTGGTAGAGCGCTAGCCTTGAGCTGAAGAGCTGAAGGACAGTGCCCAGGCCCAGAGTTCAGGCCCCACGACCAGACCTAAAAATATATATATATATTTTCCTAAGATTTAATGAAAAGCTGAGTTATTTCATCTTTATTATAGGTATAATAATGAAGAGATTGTAGCCTATGATTAATTGAAATTTAAGATTCATTAAAGTCTAAGAATAGGGCTCTTAGCTAGGACCAAAATCTTAACCATTTCAGTTAAGGTCACTGTGATGAAAAAATTTGGACTATTCCTTGAATTTTAATTAAACTATGAATACATGTATTTAGTTCACTTCTAAATTATAAATATGGTAAGATACCTATCAGAGCTTATCTCCTAGAGACTCCCAGTGGTTAGATTGGCTTGAATTTATATGTTCTGTGTTTTTCTGTTTTTTGTTGTTGTTGGTCGTGGGGCTTGAACTCGGCCTGAGTGCTGTCCCTCAGCTCTACAGCTCAAGGCTAGTGCTCTACTGCTTGAGCCACAGCGCCACTTCCAGTTTTCTGGTGGTTTATTGGAGATAAGAGTTTCATGGACTTTCCTGCCCCGACTGGCTTTAAACTGCAATCCTCAGATCTCAGCCTCTTGAGTAGCTAGGATTACAGGTGTGAGCCACTGGCACCCAGCTTGTTAACTTTTCTTTTTTTTTTTTTTATTGTGAAAATACTGTACAGAGAGGTTACAATTACTTGAGCAAGATGAGTACATTTCTTATCAAGCATTGTAGCCTCCTCCTTTGTTTCCCTTTCCCATCCCTTCCCATCCTCCCCCTGCCCCCCCACCCAATCCTCCCCACCCCCGCACCAAAGTTGTAAAGTTTGTTTTCGACATAATGACTTGTACAACTCATTGTTGCAATGGGTCCACCTGTATCCCTATTTAAACGATTTGTTTTTCCCCTTCCCCTCCACAAATTATACCGACATCAAATACAGTGAAAGCAAGGGTTATACTGTGGGGGAGGGACATACAAAGCAACAAAGGAAATTTTCTTTTTAATAGAAGTAAAAATGCATGTTACCACAATCTGTTTGATTAGTTACTATGGATAATACTTAAAAACCAAGATTGGTTAGCCCTTTTAAATCCACGTCAAAGTCATAGGCAGACTTCTTAGCTGGTTCTGTATTGAATAAAAATGTGCTTATGTATTCAGAATAAAAAATTGAATTCATTGTTTTTACTTGATTAAATTATATTATCCTAGATTGAAAGCTGTGAAAAACTATTTAGTTTAGAGTTTATGATTTTATATTACAAGGTGAAGGATTTAATGCGACTAAATGGCTTGACTTTGAAAATATTTATGTGGTCATGGTTATGTTGGCTCAGTGGGTTTTTACAATCTCTTAACAATCTCTGGTTCTTTGTTCTTCAGCATAGTTTATTGAAATTAACCACAAAATACACAGAACTCTGTTGTAATTATATGACTTAAAATAGAGATTTGTTTTGATCAATCTGTAGCCAGATGTAAGGCTAAAAAGTTGTATTTTTCTTTAAAAAAATATAAAGGCTGAAATAATCAGGTTTTTTGTTTTTGTTTTTTTGTCGGTCATGGGCCTTGAACTCTGGGCCTGAGCACTGTCCCTCAGCTCTTCAGCTCAAGGCTAGTAGTGCTCTACCACTTGAGCTACAGCGCCACTTCTGGTTTTCTGGTGGTTTATTGGAGATAAAGAGTTTTATGGACTTTCCTGCCCTGGTGGGCTTTGAACTACGATCCTCAGATCTTAGCCTCTTGAGTAGCTAGGATTACAGGCGTGAGCCTCTGGCACCTGGTTTAATCAGGTTTAATTATATAATTTCTGGATGACACAGGACAGGAAACTAAAAGGTTCTCTCTTTTAGGAATGTGTCTGACTTATAAAAAGACAAAGTTCTTGGATTAAAAATGTTTTTTTCTAGAGCCACCATTGACATGTATTTAAGTAGTATTTACTTCCCCACCCACCATATGCCACTTACATACTTTTTGATGAGCCTTTTCTCTTCTGAATCCACCGTCCACTGTATACTTCTTTAGAATAAAACAGTGTGTATGTACAGTGTGTGTAAGAGACATTCCAGTGCTTTGCTTGGGTGCTTTCCACACCTCCACTAACATGCCCACTTTCTCATTGCAATGGCTAATTCTGTGTAAGAAGAACTTGTATCTGCAGTATTAGCTTCAGTTTTCCTTTTTAGTAGTACCATAAAAATATTACGTGCTGTCATTTTTAGGTATAAAGATGATACTCAGATGTCTGTGGACTATAATAATGAGATATTCATCTGGTTCAACACTGTCAGTGCACAGTTTAAAGAGGAGTATCAAACCAGAACACTTAATCTGTTTGGAAAGACAAGATACATGCTCATGGAAAACACACAAACATATGGATGGAAAAAATGAAGTTATTACATTATTCAGGAGCAGATGCTATAATTGGAAAATAAACCTTAAATATGGGCTTATGAGTTTTTATGTAATAAAATCAAGGCCACTGATACTAGTTATGGCTTGTGAAGTATTACTCGACATCTGAAGAAATGCTTGGCAAGTTTGCTCATGACTCATTGCCTATCCTGAAGGTTTTAATAGTGATACTGCTGTATAGATATCAGTGATACTGTGTCGCCATCTGCCATCAGACCTTTTGTACACTCACTCCATAATGTTCTTGTGACAGTTGTCCTCCACCCCCCCTCATCCTGATAATTATTAAAAGGTGAAGGGAAGGAGCCACATGCCTTATGAAATTAATAATAGTCTAGGGCGGGGGTGTGGCTCAGTCAGAGAATGCATGTTGAAGTATGCCTAAGGAAGGCCTGCTTGTGATCTCCAGTACCATGAGGGGCAAAAGAAAGGAGTAGCCTCAGCTTCTAAGAGGAAAGTATTGATATTTTTCTTCTTTCTCTTTTAGATTGTCCTTCTACTCAGGCCATTCTTCGTTCTCCATGTACTGCATGCTGTTCGTAGCAGTAAGTATTCTGTGCCTACTGATAGTTGGAATATGCACTGTGTGGGTGACAGCTCTGCATAGGTGTCTTCGATGCTGCACAGGGCAGGCAAAAGTGAACATATCAGCAAGTCTCTTAAGAGTTTCCTGCTAAGAATGTGCATCCTTAAATTTGGGACACTTCTGGAGCCTACACCTATAACAGTCACCCCTGAGAGCCACTCCTAACCTCTCAATGTGGGTTCACAGTCCTGCCTGATACTTTGCTCTGTTGAGTTGAACTCATCAACAGCAAAGCAGCTATTGTGACTTCTGTTTAAGCAGTTTTTGTTTTCCTTTCACTTGCTGAACTTTCCCCACACAGCTTTCCATGGGACCAGTTTTTCCACTTCTGGGAGTTGTCTGTGGCACTCCCTGGTCCATTTCTAATCATTGGCCTATGGAGCAGCATGGTCATTTGCATGTATGTTACTCTTCAGTTCCCCTAGAGGTATTAGAAAAGATCTGTACCTGTGTTTTGCTTATAAAACTAAATGAATGTGTCATTTTTGGTTTTGTGTGTGTGTGTCTGTCTGGATTTGAATTTAGGACTTTATACTTGCTAGGCAGACTCTCTACCACTTGAGTCATAGCCACCTTAACCCTGGGTGTATTTTTTCCAGTAATTAATAGAAGACCAAGCTTGAAAACACATTCAAGGAATCTTTGAAGATCAGTTTCAATTCTTTTATAATGTTTTCTATTTACATAGTACTTACAAAATTATATGTATACTCTGTATTATGTATTACCAACATTTAGAGGAAAACGAGAGCTTTCTATCCTAGCTGATCAGCTATACATCATCTTCATAGATTCTCATGTAATTGTATTCCATGTATATCTGCAGATTTCTATTTTCTTAATCATGTTAAATGATGTATGAGTATTTCAGGGTTAAGTTAAAAATTCTATCATGTGTAATATTAAGGGTAGATTAATGGGAATTAATTTGGCCTAAGAATTTAAAATCACCTATACCAGATCTTATTTGAAAAACCAAATTTCCTAAGTTAAAACTATTGTGAAAGTCAGATATTGGTGGCTCACACCTATAATCTTAGCTACTTAGGGGTTGAGATCTGAGGATCATGGTTTGAAGACAGAAACATCCATGAGACTCTTAACTCCAATTAACCAAAACTGGAAGTGGAGGTGTAGCTCAATTGGTGCCTGGGGCAAAAAAGCCAAGCAGGAGTTCCGAGCCCCAGTACATGAAAAAAAAAAAAAGTAAAAATTGCAGGTGCCATTAACATGTAAAATTCATATCTACAATGAAATACCCCTCTGTATAACTTGTAGGCTGAATTTTTTTTTTAAAGTCCAGACACAAAATATCAAGCCATTACAGACTCATTTTTGGCTTCTCCAACAGTCTGGAAATTTTAAGTCTTTCATAGCAACAGAACGCAAACTCAGCAGAATTAAGGGCTTCCTTTTTAACACCTAAAAGATTGTATAGATGTTCCATGAGAAGTGTAACTTATTTCAAGGTAGTTAACAGCATATGCCATTGTCACATTTTACCAGGAAAATCTGCTTGCTTCTCAAAGGGAGCCAACATATATTTTGCTCTTTTAAAAATAGGACACTTGAACAAGTGTTAGGTGAGGTAACAGGGAGAGCACTCCTCAAAGCACAATTAGTAACTATACGGAACTATTTTTGAAGTGTTGAACCTGACTCACAGGATCTGTGGTTTGCTGTCCTCTCACCTGAGATAGCATCAGCTTAGTCCTTTTTCAGAGACTTGGCAAATCTTTGGTACTTGACTTGCACTTTACCTTCTTGAAAATGCTTTCTCATAATCTCTATGGAAAAAGTATCAGTGACTTCCACCATTTATCTGATGGAAAGGAGAGGCCTCTGAGAGGAGACGCTAATGTCTCTGATCTTTCAAGGTATCTCTTGACAATCAGTAACACTTGCTGTATTGATAAAAGTCCTCTAAGAAGTCTCACTGATGAGATACTGGTGTGCTGAGTGGATATTAAGAAACCTGTGAGACGGCAACTGAAAGACACACATACACAAAGGGAAAATTACTTCAACCATGACGTGGTAAATGGGTTAATGTGAGCCATTTAGAAGTAAATTATGAGGAAAAAGTCCAGATGCATAAGTTTGTTGTAGCCTTCCTGGAGAAGCCTAGCCACGCACTGCCTTTTCCTGACTCTAGACAGTGGAAATATTTACTTGATTGGGATTAGTCCCAGATTTGATTTCAGTTCTGAATACATAGATGTCTCCTTGCTTTGCCACTCTCCTATTTATATGCAACATTTAGCTTCCTTTTTCCCAAATTCCTTAGGCAGTGATTCATCTTGATGCCCTGGGCATCTTGGCATCATGCATCAGTACCAGGTTTGGGTGGAGATGTGCAGTCATTTAAGAATTTCTAACACCTAGAAATTAACTTCCAGTTAAAAATGTCTTACAGCCATCCCAATGATTATTGTTCTGCCCTGATTGGTAGCCCAGTGTTACACTAGCAGAGGTGCCTTGACTGGTGGAAGCTCAAGGAAGAAGCTGCTTGGCAAACAACAGCCAGTTTAAGCGTTTAATACTACCCTTGAATTTGGCTGATTGTTAAGACTTCCAAATTTGGGTGGTTATTCACAACAGTCATGGTACTAGACATGAGAAATTATTGTGAAAGTTGAACCACCAGATTGCTAATATCACTGTCTGTTACAAAGTCCCTCACTGTTTCAAGCTTTCTTCTCTGCCACAAACTGCTTCTTAGTTGCTACTCGCCTATTGAAGCCTTCTTTAATTTTTCACACCACCCTTTTCTTACAATTTTACACCACCCATTTCAATCCATCACTTAGCACTGTTGACATTTCATGACTTTGTTTCTGGGACTGGGAGGAACATCTGAGCCTTGGGCAAATGAGAAAGAGCTCCTGGCCCATAGAAAAACACGAGTCAGGGCTGGGAAGGTAGCTCAGCGGTAGAATGCATGCCTTGCAAGCATGAGGCCCTGGGTTCGATTCCTCAGCACCACATAAACAGAAAAAGCCGGAAGTGGTGCTGTGGCTCCAGTGGTAGAGCGCTAGCCTTGAGCTGAAGAGCTGAGGGACAGTGCCCAGACCCAGAGTTCAGGCCCCATGACCGGCAAAAAACAAAACAAAAAAGAAAAACACGAGTCAAGCTGTAAATGGTGAATTAACTGAGACCCACATTATAGTTGGGGCAGCCTATTTGTTTGCTGGATGTGGTATTAGAAGCAGATTGAGGTTCAAAGCTAGCTGGGGCAGGAAAGGCTGTGAGTCTCTTCTCTCCAGTTAACCACCTAAAAACTGGAAGTGGAGCTGGGACTCAACATGGTAGTGTACTAGCCTTGAGCAAAAAAAGTTCAGGGATAATGCCTAGGCCCTAAATTCAAGTCCTATAACCAACGTAAAGCTGCATAACTTTAGTAGAAATAAAACAAAAACAAGATTTTGATTAAACACACAAAGGGAAGATCTAAATTGACCTTCTGTATCTTTGACTTTAAAGTAGCACATTCCCTGAGAACCTCCCTAAAGGAAAGCTATTTATAATGAAGCCGCACATGGAATGGAACTATTGCCTCACCAGTACCTGGACCTACTCTATGTCTAATGGGCCACTTGGGTTTTCACAGCCACAGCCCCCACCTTATGGCTTGCTCTCTTTGCCTGTTTCCTTCTTCATAACTTTAGATTGCAAACAGCCTATCAAGTACCCAATAGGTACGTTTTAACAACTTCTGAAAGTAGACAACTCTGAACTTCCAGTGGGAATTTCTGAGGGAGAATAATGTCCAGCACATCTTGGAGGAGCCTGGTTTAAACTATCTTGTGTGTTCTTTTGTGAGAGAAGGCAGGGCAACATTGTCCAAATAAGACTCACCCCTTCATCAGTAGTTTTCTTTAGAAAGGCAATTTGAAAGTATCAGCTAATGCTGCTGAGCCTGTCTGGTACCACATATTCTTCTGTTAAAAGAATTAAATGCCTTACCCAGAATGGGCTAATGCCCCTATCAACAGACAACACAAATGGGGAAAGGAGTAAGTTTTGAGTTTGCAAAGGCAGGGACAATAATGAGCCTTTTACTATACGCTCTGTCCCTATTTCTAGTTTTAGCTTCAGACATTGTTTCTCTGTAGCAGTTAGGGAATGATGGAGAGATTCTTTGAAGTCATATGAAGTACTTGCTTTGTCCAAAATCATGGGTAATGTGCAGCGACACTCCTGTAACCAGAAGCTGTTTCCTGGCATCCAGCTCACACCTAGGTCTTGATACATTGTTAGTTAGCTTTGTTCTGACCAAGTGCTCTGATGTGATGTGTTCAAGAACTTCAGGATAAAAATAGGCTGGCTATGGGCTTTTAAAGAAATATCTTGAAAATAGAATTTTAAGAAGTGGTAGACTTTTTAGCCAAGTGCTTAACTAAGCATCTCCAGGCAGTGAGATCTTAAAATGTTTGTACTGTAGAACCTGAAAAAGACTTAGGAAGTGAAGCCTACTCACACAGGATTAATAGCCTGGGACAAAAGTCACAGTGGAATTCTAGGCATGTCACCTATGAATCAAGGTCTAAAAAACTCCTGGTGGTGTTTACTTTCTTGGGGTCAACTGAAATAGAGAAGTCTTCATAGGCAAGAGTAAAGCTCTATGAGATGCCTGTCTTTCACAGGGAAACACTCAGTACTCATGCCCCACGAAAACACAGTACTCCCAATTAGCAAGTTTTCTCAAAACATAGCTATTGGCACCCAGAGGAACCAGTGTATAGAACATAGATTAGGTGCAGAACTAAAAGCAGATCCCTGAAGTCCTTCAACGTAGAATAATTTCTGTAGCTATAATGAGTTTCATTGATGGGAAACGTGTCTACATAGATGGATGTATAAGAAGAAACTTATAGGGGCGAAGATTTTCCTAAAGTATGCTGCAGTTTATTTGATTACTGATCCAGAGTGAATAAATTCCCTTCTTTAGGATGTTGGGGAAGAAATCTGGGCAAAATAATACTTAATAGTCACAATTAACAAAAACAATGTGATACCTACAATAGAAGTCAGGACTCTTTGGAAGGAAAATACTGCTGAGGGAATTTTAGGATCTTACATGAGAGAAGACTTAAGAGTCTTGAATTTCCCTTAGGTTGGAGGAACAAAACGGAAGCAGTTTAATTAAGTCCCATTTTAGAGGGTTGGTTTTTTTTTTCTTGCTTTGTCCTAAGTGGTAGGGCTTAAGATATCTCTGTTCAGAAGCCTGTGATTCCTAGGTATATATTTTTAGTCAGAGTAGCCTGTTGGTGATAACTGAACTTTCTGAGAGCAATATCCAAAGCTTGGTTTCACCATAGTCTTTTCTACTTGAGTTTCTTTCTAGTTAAGGGAGATATAATGAGCAAATCTTGAGACAAGTCCCTTTTTTTTTTTGCTACTACTGTCATAGTTGGAGTAACAACAAAAAATAAGGTTTGGGGTAAGGGAATCCACAGAATTCCAGTAGCACTTAATCTAGCAAATGAGTCAGACCAGTTAAACAGCTGGTATGCTCTTTTAGAACTAGATGTTTATACTGTGTACTTGATAAAATTAGACAACCTCTGGGTATTTGCCAGCTGCTGAGAACAGAACACCCTACAGCAGTGCCCAACGGGGAGTAGATTTGCACATCTATTTTAAATAGGTAGTGTCAATGGGCAGAGCCGTGGAAATTCTGAAGACTACACTTAATTTAAGTCTGAGTCATAAATTATTGCACAAAATTTTTTAATGAATGCTAATATTAACTTTTACTGACAGGTCTTACTATGTAGTTTTAGCTTCCCTATCTGTGATCCTCTGCCTCATTCTCCAGAGTGCTGGAATTATAGTTGTGCACTACCTACCCAATAAACTTAATTTCTATTATTATTATTTTTGGGGGGGGGTCCGGTCGTAGGGCCTGAATTCTGGGCCTGGGTGCTATCCCTCAGCTCTTCAGCTCAAGGCTAGCGCTCTACCACTTGAGCCACAGTGCCACTTCCGGCTTTTTTCTTTTGCTTATGTGGTGCTGAGGAATCGAACCCAGGGCCTCAGACATGCAAGGCAAGCACTCTACCACTGAGCCACCTTCCCAGCCCCCAATAAACTTAATTTCTAATAAGAATACTGCAATTTTATATTCTTAGAACTAGTAGAAAGTTATATTCTTAGTGAGTAGAAATTAGGCTTTAAAAAGTGAGAAGATTCACTCAAGAATTTATTTTGCATCAAAAATTTTAAATAGGGTGGTAGAATAGCTCCAGCGGTAAAGTGACTGCTTAGCAAGTATAAGGCCCTGACTCCAGTACCACAAAACAACAAACAAAATCTTGAGATACTAATGCATCCAAAGTCAGAAGGTAGGTATCAGAAAAAGGAAATATTCAGGTCTGATAGTACCAAAAAAGGGTGCTACAATGTGAGTTATTATTTGAGCCAATTTTATTTATTTACACCGATAATGTGTTTAGTCTTAGTGGCTCCGTTAAATAGTTTGAGGCTAGCAGAGCTTTCAAGTAAACTGGCGAGTTAAGCAAACAGTCCTTAGAAGGGCTGGGGCAAGCTGTGCTGAGCATGCTAGTAGTTTATCTCAAAACTAGGAACTAATTACAACATTGTGTTTAACAACCCAAACAGCAAAGGGAGGAGCTGACTTGAAATACTGTCTAAAAAGTCATAAACAAAGAAACCACTGGCTTTATAATTTGAAGGGTAAAATAGCCAGATAGGTAGTAAATTCGCCTAAACACAATAGTTGCAATAGTATATATTCTTTTATGCTTAAAGGTATTAACTTTTAAGGCATTAAGTACAAGAATACTTAAAGTTCTATTCCATATATAGTAGTCTGATAGTCAATTTGAATGCCAACCCTTTAGCATCATGGTGATACTTACTGGAATATATTCCATTTTCAGTTGGCATAGTAAATGAACTATTTTCTTTATTCTTATCTTTTCTGTTAGCTTTACCTTCAAGCCAGGATGAAGGGAGATTGGGCAAGACTCTTACGTCCCACACTACAATTTGGTCTTGTTGCTGTATCCATTTATGTGGGCCTTTCTCGAGTTTCTGATTACAAACACCATTGGAGCGATGTGTTGACTGGACTCATTCAAGGAGCTGTGGTTGCAATATTAGTTGTAAGTATACAGGGCAGCAGCCAACATCTTGATACCATCAAGATTTAGATAATAAGTAGAAGAAAAAAAAACCCCAATGAGAAATCTGACAAGGCAGGGAATGTGGCTAAGAATCATGTGTTTAAAGTAAATCTTAAGGACATACAGTGGATAAAAATTAGGTTACTATTTACAAACTCAAAAGTTGAAACCTGTGGCTATAAACAATTTTCTTTCTGGTATGAAAACTTATGTACATAACACTTTTATTAAGTGTTAGTAGACTGAAACTATTTACCAAAAGCATAACAAAGCAACTCTAAATGCATTAACCTTTAAAAAAAATCCTATTAGCTACTAATTTTTTATAGTCTAAATTTTTATGTCCAATGCATATCCTTTTGCTTATCTTTGCCAACAGATTCTTGCACCTTTTTATGTGGTTTTTAAACTTAGGTAAATTGCACTAGTAAATATAAGTAACTTCCATATGTAACTTGTTCCATATAGGCTGTATACGTATCGGATTTCTTCAAGGCAAGAAATTCTCCCTTTAAAGAAAGAAAAGAGGAGGACTCTCATACAACTCTGCATGAAACACCAACAACAGGAAATCACTATCGGAACAATCACCAGCCCTAAAGGGTAGCAAGATGGCAGATGAAACTGGCCTGTTTTCTAAAGGAAAATGACTGCAACTAGAAGGCAAGAGGATGTGTCTTTCTTCCTGGTGTACAGGCCTTTACAGGACTGCTGCTGCTATGCCTCCTGAATGCCCACTTTATGTATATAATCACATTTAACACAATGGTTATCTAATAGCTCTAAGATCATCAAAAAAAATTTCAAGCCTTCCACTAGAGCAATGCCCCACCTATACATTTTTATTAAAAAATGTAATGCTTATGTACATATGTGTATGTAATATGCTTTCCCATAATGTTTGATTTAAATATAATACATATTAAAATGTGTAAGGACAACTGTCCTGAGATGAGAGAACACAACATTTGTAAGCATTTGCAGTCAACTATAATCAAACCAGAGGTATTTTTAAATCCCATATTCCTTAAGTTGACTCTTTTATAAGTAGAGGCTGGCAGCAAACACGATATCTCGCTTGATTTTGGTGATTCCTAAGAGAAAAGAAAATACTGTTTAGGCTTTCAAAGACAGCATGACAATCCTAATTAAATTATAGTACCTCATAAATCAAAATCACACAGGTTGGTCTAAGATACCTAAAGGAATTCACAGCCTCCTAAAAGATGGGAAACTTAAGACAGACAGACTTCTACTCTTTGACTGTGAAGTACACTGAATATGTAGGGGTAGTGTTTAAAACTGCTAAAAAAAAAAATCATCTGGAGAGTAATATAGTTTTAGTTACTATGTGAGAGTCTTTTTGTTGTAAGGACAGATATAAATGTTTTAGTTTTAAAACTTTCATACTTGTCGGGTGCCCATGGCTCACACCTGTAATCCTAGCTCAGGAGGCTGAGATCTGAGGATCTTGGTTCAAAGCCAGCCTGGGCAGGAAAGTCCATGAAACTCTTAATCTCCAATAAACCACCAGAAAAATGAAAGTGGCACTATAGTTCAAGTGGAAGAGCGCTAGCCTTGAGCTGAAGGACAGCACTCAGGCTCAGAGTTCAAGGCCCATGACCGACCAAAAAAAAAAAAAAATCATACTTAAATTGAAAAATATACCTCTCTCTCTCTCTCTCTCTCTGGCCAATCCTGGGGCTTAAACTCTGGGCCTAAGCTCTCACTGAGCTACTGCTCACGGCTACTGTTCTACCACTTGAGCCACAGTGCCACTTCCAGCTTTTTCAGAGTAGTTTATTAGAAACCAAAGTCTCAGGGAACTTTTCTGCCCAGCTGGCTTCAAATGGTGATCCTCAGATCTCAGCCTCCTCAGTAGCTAAGGTTACAGGTGTGAACCACCAGGCCAGGCAATAAGCCAGTTTTTGCAAATCTCTTCTTACAACACCTACACAGACATAAAGAGCATTGACAGCCTGCCATTCTTTGATTTCTTTTCTCAGCCAAAATTTATTCAGGAGGAAAAGACAAATCTATTTAACAAACGTACTTATTTCCTCTACCTTCCCCCAAATCCTTGGCCCGGCGACCCTGCTAACTTGCTACACTACATATACATCATTCTTGAGATCCAAACCTCTAAATTATTGCAGAGAAAGGCCTGGGCCTTCCAACCCCCTACTTCTACAGTCACCGATCAGTCTGCTCCAGCCACACTAGCCTCTTACTGCCACATAAATATACCAAGTATTTATAGAGCTTCAAATGTCACTCCCTTTCTTTGTGGAGGCTGCCTGGCCATCTCCTCTATCCCCCAAATCTCTCGTCATGTTTTATTCCTGTATACTTAAAACCATCTGATATACTTTAATTATTGACTTGTCTGTCTCATGCTAGAATGTAAGCTCCATAGAGGCAAGGAGTCCTGTCTCTTTGTTCTCTGTGCAATTCCTAGTATCTAAAACAATGTCTGGCACAAAGTAACTGAATAAATACTAATGAGTACACATATAAACTCTCTAAACTTTTCCCCATATAAACTCGCTAAAATTTTATAACAAAACTACTAGATAGTACTCCATGGAAACCAACAAGGACATCAGGGGCTCAAATGCCCAGAAGATTTGCCTAAATTATTAGAAAAATCTGGATACTGACCTTCTGCAAATTTATTTTCCAGCTCAGTGTTTCCAATGGCTTTTGCTGCCTGACACATTTGTCGAAGCAATTCTTCCAGGCGCCTCATACAACGAATTATGCTGCCTAGACAGAAAAGGAACAAATTATTTGTACAATGGGTTAATCAAGAATAGTGTAATGTTAAGAGGCCAGGCAAAAGAATATAGAACAAGCAACAGTACTCTGAGATAAACTTAACTGGCTTCTCTGTTAGGCATTATGAAGACAAGTTTAATTCCCACACCTTTGACTAAGGGTAATAAGAGACAGTTTCATTATATGTTGACACTTGCTATTTAGTGCAGATAAACTAAATGCTCTGTGAGATGAAAGCACAATTTGGGGGAAGGTTGGCAAACATGCCATCTCTAAGAATGCATGCAGTCAGGCAGTGAACAAGGGGAAACCTCTGAAAGTACAGGAAAGCCTGATAGTCCAGCTTCTTCAAGAACTTTGGGTTTGGCCTCCTCAGGTATCTAAATACCATGTCCATTATCCTGTGGAGGGAACACAACAGGATTTGCTATGTCTTGTAAAAGCTTTTCATTCTTGTGGAACTAAAATAATTTCCTCTTTGTACCCAAGGAAGCACAAAGAGAGGAGACTAGCCTTTTCCTATGAATCCTGACCATCTGAGACAAGTGTATTAAAGCTGAAACCGTAAACAGTTCCACTTGTACAAGGAGGGACCTGGGTTCTCTGCCTGAATTCAACACTCTTGGGACTTATAGAAGTGCCTTCGAACACTTATCCCAGTGGGATGATAACAGGAGCCTCAAAATACTGCACAAGGGTATATTAAGGACAACATGCCTACTTTCTAAACACATCCTGAACCTGGAACAATGAGCCCACAAAGATGGTTCTTTCAGGTAGTAGTTTATGGGATGAGACTGGTTAAAAAGAGGATCTGTACAGTATATAGGCCCCTGAAAAGACAATTAAAAGGACACACCAGCAAGGCGTCACATATTTTAGCCATGGTTTGCAGGAGTAAGTAAGCCAAAGAAGTTATAGGAGTTATAGAAAGACTGGGTGAGAAACCTGTGTTATAATCCACACTGCTATAATCTAGGGTCGAAAGTGATACGCCATCTACATATATATGCACATCTTATAATAACAAGGTTTTCTTATATTTTAGCAGAGTAACTGTTTAAGATGAAAGGTAAAATTGAATAAAGGTAAAATTGGTAAAATTAGAATATGATTTTAGAAAAGTTGGTGAAGCCTGATATTTACTGTACACTTGTTCTACATCAGCACTTCATATTTGTGGATTTCCTCTTGTTTGATCCTCACAATTTCATGAGGCGAGTATTATTGTCATCCCTGTATTACAAACAGGGAAAAACACAGGAAAGTTACATATATAGACTCTCATCAGAGATGGAATCCACACAGGAAGAGTCTAAGCAAGCATATAATCATACTAATTCACATAGGAAGACGGAGATGGGTTTTTTTAAAGTACTTTACTTTTATAAAATTTATAAACCATATATATATACATATATATATATATATATATATTTAAGAATCAAATATTATAAAGCCAGTCCTGGTGGCTTCTGAGAATCACCCATTTGGAGCCAGCCTGGGCAGACAAGTCTGACAGACTCAGCAAAGACAAGTGGAGGCATGGTTAAAGCAGACTGAAATGGGAAGTGTGGGTACTGACTACTCTTTTTCAAGAGCCTAGCCGTAAAAGGGATGAGGGCGTGGGGATGAGAAAAATAACTTCCACCCGCAAATGGGAAGTAACAGCCAATGTTTATTAAATGCGATGTGCCAAGCACTGCACACACGCATCAGTACCAGGTACAATTAAACAAAACTTGCCCAGGATCTTTCATCTATCAAGTGGGTAGGATTTCAGCTCTTAAACACTGGATGTTGGTAGCTGAAGGTATAGGCAAGAAATTTAAACATTTATATGCTAACAGCAGAAAAGATATGATTTAAGTATATCAAGGAGGAGGAAGGCCCTGGGATTCAGAGCAACAGGTAGGTAAGACTTTTCTCCAGGGTACAGGACATATATGGGTAAGAATACATGCCTACTGGCATTAACTTTCTTCTAAAGAGGGAGCAGCCAAGAAGCTGAACCAAAGGTGGAAAAATGTTTGTGAGCAGGGAAGATCTAGAATTGCTATTAAGGAAAGTGGAAGAGGAAGCCCAAAGAGAATTCTGCCTAGAGGAAGTTTTTGAAGGACCATACAGCTCAATTTTTTCTCTAGTCAAAGATTGATCTGGGTTGATGATACCTAAGGCAGAAGAAGAAACCCCATTACTCCCTACTCTTAACTTTTGAGGCTACTGAAGAGGATCTACCTGAGAGGCTCAGAGAATTTTCTCCAAGCAGAGTGGCTGTATCCTCTCCACAGCAGGCCTTGAAAAAGTGAAGTACCTATGTGATACCCACCAACTTACATTGCTACTCAGAACTCATTCTGACCCTTAAATTATTTCAAGATTTGGAAAAACAACAACAGATGAAAAATAGAAGAGGTTTGCTGTTTCATTTACATTAACTTTAAATATTGATTTCACAGCCAACATTTTCCAGAAATGAGCCACATTCCTAGCCCTAGAACTATATTTTAGAACTTAAAGCACACAGACTTTGCTTTTTAATAACACAAAGAAGGCAGGCACTGGTGACTCACATCTCTAATCCCAGTTACTCAGGAGGATCACGATTTGATGCCAGACCAGTCAGAAAGTCCATGAGACTCTTTTATCTCCAATGAACTAGAAGTGGAGCTGTGGCTCAAGTGGTAATGTTAGTTTTGAGCATAAAACTCAGGGACAGCACCAGGCCTGAGTTCAAGCAGGACTGGCACAAAAAACAAAATTACTCTGGTAGTAATAATACCACAAAGAGTTTTACACATATAGGCAGTTGTAGAGTTTTACCTATGTATGCAGAAGTTTCCATTTTATTACCAACTTTTTAAGAAGCAATAATAACCTTAATAATATTCTAAGTACATTTCTCATTTTCCTTCTTTTTTGTATGGATGGTAAGGAGGAGGGATTCTAAGACTCTATATATGGTAGGCAAGCACTCCACCAATATTAGCGATAACCCTATCCCTAAGTACATTTCTTGTATCTGGAAAAATATATGAATGAAAAATTTAACCATACCTTCAAAGACATCTGTCATTTTGCAGATATGGGCAAATGTAGCTCCAGTTGCCCAGG